CTACTTTTGAACAAAGAATCTTTCACTGAAAATTCTCTGTGAACTCCAAACAAGACAACTTTTGACTGACTAGAGCCCAAAAGATCCTTTGCTTTCAAGACAGTTTGATTGCCTTGCCTGTCGACTAAAAACTCAATGTTTAAATCGTACATTATTTTGTTTAAAAGCAAGAATTTCAGTTTCATATTCATTAAATTTCGGCTTGTCGGTGGTGGCCTGACAACAGTGGCATACTGGTCCAGTGCCTTAAGGCCATTGGGCCACCCTTAATGTCGGATCCCGTATCATTTTCCTGTAGTTTGTACCATTAATTCGGACCACCTAGTAACATTAAAATAGATGTGAATGACTTTTGAGCAGAACTTTGAAGAGAGGCAACATGATGCCAGCATTGTGAAGCCAGAGGTGGTGGGCGTGGCCAATGTGGTTGCAGCTTTGTGTCACAGTGGATGTTGTTGGAAGAAGGCTGCTGCAGGCTTCACTATTGTCTTTGGGGGCAGGACAAGCATGACAGTGGAAATCAGGATGATCTGAAAATATACAGTAGCTTGTATTTTCCACCTCTTGTATTGACATCATTGTTCGTGAATATTTGTTTTTCTTTCTCCACTCGGTTTTTTGTGGAAAGGTTCACCTGCTTGCTTCTGCCACAAATCTTCCTTTTTATTGCCTCAAGTGCTATGGCAACATAATGAAAAATTACCCAGCTTTTTTGATGCAAATAACATGCTTGAAGACATCACAGACACTTGGAGAAGGGTGTCCAGTCGATATAGATGACATGAAAGTCAAGTGGACGATGAACGTTGCCCTGACGGATGCTGCTGTGAAAAGGCGAACCGCTGTTGTGAAACTAGTTTGAGTGTCGCAACTGGTGAATTTTCCCATATATGCTGGAACGAGCAGATAATGGGTACGCTGACAATGCATTTTATTTGTGTGTGGAAACATGAATGAAAATAACAAATGGGATTTTGCTTGTATCGCGCTTTTGAAGGCACTTAAAGCACTTTAACAATCAGCATCAGGACCAAGTTGGAGCTTTGGTATTATGCTCAAGGACCCTTGGGCGTGGTCACTTGGGCTCAGGATTGGACCCACGTCCTTCAGGCTGGAAAATGACCATAATACCACCTCAGCCCCATAAGGACTCCAATTGTGCTCTTGTCAAAGTTTCACTGAAGGTTTTTGTCATGGGACCAACTGATGTGTGTCAGGGAACTGGAGAGTACTCTTTGGAAGCGGTATCAGACTGACTGTGGAGACTCGTAAGTTTGACTTTGATGTATTGCAACCCAAATTGTGTCACTACCTCATAAAGATGAGATAAAACAAGATAAAATGCAGTTTTTGGGTATATTTTTTAAAACCGCGATGCCTATTGAGTTTGCAGCTTCACAACAGATCTCAGGAGGTTCTTGTATCGGAAGTAACTAATGTGTGACAGGATACAGGTTACTTTTTGGAGGTGGAATCAGATTGACAGTGGGAACCTGGAAGAGGGATTTATTTATTTTTTTGGAAGATAATTACTTAGTTTTGTTTTTATTAAAATCTTGAAACAGAAACTTAGCTAATTCATGTTTTTATTTTTTCGTGTTTTGTTTGAGCCTCACATTGTCTGAATTTGTCGTCGTTGTTTGGATGTGGAACCAGATTGAGTGTTTAGACTGGTGAGAGGAAAAATGGCAAGTCTATTGTTGTGACATGTTGACATGCTGTGTGTGCAACGTTCACAAACTCTCTCACGAACTTAATATGAAAGCTATTTTTGACATGTCAGGAACCAGCAAGTTTCTTCAAAGCTACTAGTCAACACCAGAACCCAAACTGCATCACTGGAAAAAAAATCTGAATGGTTTTATTTCCATTTTCATTAATGCTAAACTAAACATAGAAACCAAACACTGAAAAAAATCGCCGTTCATGATTTTGGTCCCCATGGATGCTCGAACAGGGTTGCAAGGTACTCTCCAATTACCCCCGCCAAATGCCTGGCCCTCAAATGCCCAGCCGAATATATGATCCGGAAGGGGAGAGCGAGCAGCTAAATTAATGCACTTGGCGTGCACCTATCTCATACGAGTCAATTTCTGCTTTGACAAAGTCCTTTGACTGCCTTGATTTTAAAAGGAGTGAGGGGAGCCACTTGCACTTGATCATTTATATTCCACATTATGATCATGAAAACTTTTGACACAACTTCACTTGTAATGTGAGCATGTGGTTGGTGTTTTAGGGGAGGACTTTGAGCCATCCTTCTACAAACTTGAGGCCATCAACCTGACGGCGTGTCTCGCCACTGGCTTCAGCCGACGCAATGCCACGGAGAATGTGGGAAAAGGTCACATGTTCGAGGAGTCTCGTCCTGTGCGAATATCAGATGACTCGCTATACAACCAGGTGGCACTGCTCACAGCCGCACATGACGACACGTGTGAGGAAGGTGAGGATGGTCAGGCGAGGCCCCCAGTCATCTGAATGAAGTCACCGCCTCACGTCTGCTTCTTGTTTTGCCGCCACAGGTGACAGTGGACCAGGGCAGTGCCAGGACACGTTGGTGCCAGGTTAGTATTGAACATGTGAGAGGTGCAGCCTGTTGGGCTGAGTTAAATGTGCATGTTGCCGGCAGACGAGAAGGTGAACCTCTTGTCGCTCGCCGTCCTAACCCTGCGCCTCATCTTCGCCAAGACGCTCGCCATCAACTGTGTCATGACACTGGGCCTGTGGTTCGGCGCACCAGAGTAGCCAGCGCGGCGCCACCGCCTTCCTCTTCCTCCTGCGCTCATGTTAGAACTTGTCACTTTTTACATGTCAGTGAGCCATAAATTGCGTAATATAAAAAAAATCAACAAAAATTCAATAAAATACTTTTTTTAAAAGCTGTTGCGTCCTTATTTTTTGGATGATTCAAAAGAGGCTTTCAAGAATCTACATCCAGAGAAACAAGTCGTGAATACAAAACAAAGAAGACATCAAATCAGCATGAAAACAAATACTGTAGTTCAAATAGAAGACAGCCATTTTTGAAAAAAAAACAAGAAAAAAATAGAAGAATCGACTTTTGCCTTTACCTGTTTGATTGAGAGTCTACCCACCCATTAAAGAAATCCCACATCATTTAGCAAGCCAATCCGTTTTTATTTTGTGAGCATGAGTTAAAAATGACTTGCGCTATTTCTATGTGAGCCTTGGTGTGCGTGTCTGCTGCTCTTTCCACAGGAAGCGGTCGCCATGGCACCTGCACCACAGATGACAGCGGTGATGGTTTCTGCCTCAAAAGCTTACTGGGACAGGATGTTTGTTGTGTGTAGGAAATGCAGGTCAGGTAGAACGAGGAGCAT